ACCAATGTTTGCTAGAACGGAATTAAAATTTGAGCACAAGGCTCAAGTTTCTGAAAAGCCTTCTTCCTGGAGAACGCTTTGTCCTTTTCCATCTCAGTGACTCGGGAAGGCTTTTTTCCTGTGTCTTACCATCACACTTCTGACTCTTGAGGACCTGAGCTCTGTGGACATTTTTCCCACTCAGTTGTCAAGGGCTAACAAGAGTCCTGCTTCTTATTTGCATCAGAAATAGCATCAAAGCCTTGACATCAAAGGGTGAAATCTCTGAAAGGGTTTTCTGGAAGCTTTAGGAGGCTCGCCAAACATTGTTTCAGGTTCCATTCCAGGTGGTGGCTTAGGGTCTGGAGCGTCTTCTGCACCAAGGTGGCTCTGCCATTTGGCAGAGCTTTGGTTCTTCCTGATCACCAGTATTTCGATTTAGTTATGGGATTTGGGGTTCTCTGTACCTTGTTTTACTTAATTGTTTTTGAAACTATTACATTTGGAGGTAAGCACTACCTCTAAGTTCAAATCCCACTGTACCATTGAGGAATGTGAGTTGAGGGTGAATTGTAACAAATCAACAATGAAGGAAGGGAAGAATTTAGAATTTATTTCCCTCCCTACTCTAGGAGTCGGTGAAATAAAACATCCTCCTCTCATGGAGCACAAGACATAAATCACAGTGCCCAGTTTCCTCGTGGAAAGGAAGCTTCAAGCTGAACACATGATTTCTCACTTAATAACATTAAATTATTGATATTAAATTGGTGATATTAAATTGGTGATATTAAATGATTAACATTAAGTGAATAACTGTTAGTTATTAGTGAAATGTTATTTGAGGGTAATAACTACCTGCCATGTGCCAGGCACTATACTAGATGCTCTACAAAATTCATTCAAGTTTTAGAAGAATCACATAACTACCGTTCGCACACGAGGAAATTGTATCTCAGAGAGGTTAACTAACTTACCCGCAGACACACAGCTAGTAAAAGACCAGCTGGATGTCTGTCTTGAAATCCCTGCTCTTGGCAATGGTAGAGTCCTTGCTATACTATTGGGATTTCCATTTCATTGATAACAAGACTTAAGTCCAGAGAAGTCCAGTTAAACTCGCTCAAAAAATCTGGCAGAGTGTTCAGTAAATGGCAGAGTAGTTTCATCTTGTTGTTACCCTGTCTCTGGTCTTTCAAGAATTCAGTCATTGCTTACTTGCCCTCCGGTCAAAGGCCCTTTTCTCACCACTTTGGTGAAACTGGCCCACCACTGAGAAGGAGAAATGCTGGGATATTTGGTGCTGTTTTAAAGTTAAATAGACCTCTGAAAATCAACCTTAATTTAACTTTGCATTTAAGATGTCCTTGGAAGCCCAAGTCTTTGTGGTAGGCACTGTACACAAAAGGGAAAAAAAAATCCAAATTTTTGAGATATTCGATTACTATATTCATTAAGCTTATAAGCACATATATTTTGACACATCTCTTAATGGATTCAAAATAGTTTCAAATTCTCACAGCATTTAAGTTGTTTTATTCTGGAGTCAAACTAATTTATTTTCTTTCTTTTTCTTTCTTTCTTTCTTTTTTTTTTTTTAAGATTTTATTTATTTGACAGAGAGAGAGAGAGAGAGAGACAGTGAGAGAGGGAACACAAGCCAGGGAGTTGGAGAGGTAGAAGCTGGCTTCCCACTGAGCAAGGAGCCTGTAAATCCCAGGACACTGGGATCAAGACCTGAGCGGAAGGCAGATGCTTAACTTAATGAGCCATGCTAATTTATTTTCAAAGAAGGTGGTTTTAGGTACTTTCTGAGATTATGGTATTCTATTGTATGCTTATGACACCAGTGAGTTATCAATCTGTTGCAAATTCTCTTAAATGCTTGAGAATTCTTAGGTGTTTTCCAGTAAATTGGCCTGGGGTGGGGGTGGGGGGTGGGGCAGTGTGGGAAGTTCCACATTGCTGATGGACAGGGCCACAGTCTCTCTCTCTCTCTCTCTCTCTCTCTTTTTTTCACTTCTGCCCTATTTTGGAGAGGAACCTTGCCTAGGTTGGAGGACTTTTCCTCTAGGTAGTCGCAGTGGACAGAATTTTCAGTAGTTCATTTCTTTTTTTTTTTTTTTTTTTAAAGATTTTATGTATTTATTTGACGGAGAGAAATCACAAGTAGGCAGAGAGGCAAGCAGAGAGAGAGGAGGAAGCAGGCTCCCTGCCAAGCAGAGAGCCCGATACAGGGCTCGATCCCAGCACCCTGGGATCATGACCTGAGCCGAAGGCAGAGGCTTTAACCCACTGAGCCACCCAGGTGCCTCCAGTAGTTCATTTCTGATATTCATCTCAGAAATTCTTTAAAGAGGAAGTTATAGTTCAGTTTTTCAAGTTCACATTTCTTGCCTTTTGGTTCTCCAGGTTATTGGGTTGCTTTGGGGTCTGAAAAAGGAAAATAGAAAACAAAAGGGGGAGTCACTCAAAGTACCCTAGCAAATGAAGCTTTGCTTTCAGGCAGCTGTGGATGCAAAGGCTTTAATATTCAGCATGCATATCCCAGGAGAGGAAACATGGTACATGTTCTAGAAATTTCACTGTTTTTAAGGAGGCGGGCAATTTCCCATTCCACCACATACAACTCAAAACTCGTGCAGTGCAGGGAGGCAAGCTGCACCTATTGTTTAAAAACATTTTAGACAGAATTCAGATTGCTCTTTCCTCTTTCCAGCGTTGTGCCAAATGACAGGGACCGATATTTCATCTCCTTTTCCTATAAATCTCAGGAAGACACACGAAAGAAGGTTGAAGTGAATCCCTTAAAGGGACTTCGTGCAGTTACTTAAATAATTGATACATACACATATCTATAAATCCCCCCGTGCGCATTTCCCCCCTTTTGACTTGTGGGAACAGTAGCTACAGTAACCGAAATCCACCTCCTCAGACTGTGACATTTCAGAAGGTCTTTCACCAAGAAGCCAAAACACTTGGGGCCCCCCACAAGCTGCTCCGCAGAGGCCGCCGAGTCACGCAGCTCCTGCACACAGCCTCGCCAAGCGCGCTCAAATAAAAGTTGCCCGGTCCGGAGTTCGCAAGGGTGGAGGCGGCTCTCCAACCACGGAGGAGGCACGACGGGCTGCGCGGGCCAAGGACCTGAAGCAGTGGCCGCGATCCGCTCTCTCTTCCACGCCGCCCTACCCCCTCCTGTTCGATCTAGGATTCTTTTTGTTTGTTTGTTTTCCAGGGACAGCAGCTACTCAGGCAGGCCTGGGAATGTTGACTGTGAGTTTCTCCTTGAGACGCGCTCTGATTCCATTTTCCGTAACCCAGCTAGCGAGAAACACGACTCCCGGGTCCTCGGCACCACCGCTCCCCACCACTCGCCTCCACATCGCAGGAGTGGCCAGCGAGCGCGGGACGTGGGAGGGCGGATGAAAAGATGCCCCACGGACACACCTCCGCTCTGCGGGTAGAGGGTTGCAGCCTTTGTCCGCTCGCCCTTCCGCAGGGGCCACGCACTCCCGCTTCTGGCCGGCAGGTGGCGCGATTGCCTCACGATGAGTTGCTGCCCGAGCGGGAAAGGCTCTTCCACCTCCCCGCGGTCGCCCACCCGCTGGGACCCTGGCTCCGGGGGGAAAAACCCAGTCCTACCCTGGAGGGAGACTGAGGAGGGGCGGCCTCGGGGTGGGGGTGGAGGAGGAGGCCAAGTCAGGAATCGGGCCCCTTTAAACGTCGGAAGAAAGGCTCCGAGTCGCGTCGGGGGTCGGTCCCGGGGCCGCCCTCAGCGTTACAGTCGCCCGGCTGCGCTCAGGTGGCTGCTCCGGCAGCCGGGACGTCTGGGGACAGACCAAGGCCCACTGGGGCCTACGTCCCCGGAGATTGACATTGACACTCTCGGCTCCTGGGTGGGGGCAGCTGCGAGGATTCCCGCCGCTTCTGCCGTCCGCCACCGCGCCCGGGGCGCGGAGAGAGGTCCCCAGCAGCGCTCGGGAGCCGTCGGAGCGCAGAGCTGCAGCAGTCGCGCCGGGCAGCCTCAGAGTCCCCACGTGCGGGGTCTGGGCAGCAGCAGGTACCCTCGCTCCCACCTTACGCCCTTCGCTTCTGGCCCGGCGCCCGGGATTTACCAGGCCCGGTTCCCGGGACGACCCCCGGGGAGCGCGCAGCCTGTTCCCTGCAGCTCAGGCCGGACTTCTCGCGGCGTCCTGTCGCGATGGGAAGTACTGTCCTGGGGCCGGGAAGAGACGCGCTGCCTGAACGCGAGGTGCAACCAGAGGGCTCTTCTCCGTGGCTAGAAAGTCCCTGGTTCCGTCTCTGGAGACGGTAACTGTGCCTTGCCTCCCGCCGGGAGCTGCCCTGGACTTTGGGGACCGATTAGGTCCCTGCTTTTCAGCTAGCTGGGGAGCCGGGGAAGAAAGACATAATCAAACCACAGGACTCCCCCGAAGAGCATTTCATTTGGAGATGCGCCATAAAGACACCAACAGGGCAAGGTAGCTGAGGGTGGCAGAGGCGGTGCGCCAGCCCCTGCGCGAGCCGCGAACGCGTCGACCCTCAGAAAAGAGCAACTGCAGAGATGCAGGTCAACTTTATACTTATTTTATTGCAGTAAAAGAACCTTTTCCTCCATCTCAAAACGCTCGTGGTGGTGGGGGGGCGGGGGGAGGGGAGAGGGGGTTGCCAGTCTTCTTCGGATGCCCCCCAGTCGATTTCGGTCTTCGAAGCTCCTTCCACTGCCCAAGGGCTGGACCCCTGAAGTGAGGTCCGGAGACGGTGCAGTCTCCCTCCGGCGGGGGCGGGAACCCGGCAGAGCTGGGTCTCAGACGCCCCTGGAGACCGCGCGCCCTGCCGAGCCCTGAGGGGGCGGGGCCTTAGGGCGGGCTATGCTCAGTGGGGCGGGGCTGGGCCGTCCCGTCTGCGCCACTATTGGCCACGGGCCTCGGACTGGCGGGTGAACGTCACGGGCTGGGCCCACCCCCTTGGCAATGTCTTCAGCCTGCTGCACTCCTAACTTAAGCATTTATTCCACTGGGATAGAATCGGTAGGAGCAGCGTTGGCACCGGCGAACCATGGCTGGGATTTTCTATTTCGTCCTCTTTTCGTTTCTTTTTGGGATTTGCGACGCTGTCACCGGTTCCAGGGTGTACCCCGCGAATGAAGGTAAGAGCGAGGTGGTCCTTCTGCGGTCCCGGGCAGAGAGGTGGATCTGCGGGTGAATGGGCCCCGGGAGCGCGAGGCCGGAGGGTATGAGGGGATCCCGTCGTGAGCGGTGCGCCCCGACTCCGGAGAAGGGGGCCCGGACGAGGGGATCCGCGAAGGGGAGTGGGAAAGCTGCCGGGCAGCCTTCCCCAGGTGGTGATCGTGCATTCGGCTCGGCTACCCAAGTTTGTAGTGAAGGATAAAGTTCAGTAGCATCCGCTGGCGAGCCCAGCTCCAGGAACCCCAGGGGATACACGAGAGCCAACACCAGAATTAAAAAAAAACAAAAAACAAAAAATAATTTGGATTTAGCGCTCCCTACCACTGCTCACACCCCGGCTTGGGTCAAGGGGGGAACGAAAGCCTGGAGCTAAGTGAGTGCTTGGTGCTCCCGGGTTCCTGCGAAAGCCTTGGACCTCAGGTTTCTGCGAAGTTTGCCGAGCCTTGGGCTTCCCGGGACCGGGCTGTGGGGCTTCGGCTGCACAGAGGTCGTGGCGCCGCTCGCAGGTCGCCAGTGACCTGGTTTCTGTAGCACCCGGCGTCAGACACCTTCTCCCCGCTGGGCCGCGCGCTCCGGGTGTGCGATCGCTGGCCTACGGGGCCCCACTCTTTTCAGATCACCCCGCAGACCTGGGGACCCGCTGGCAAGTTAAGCGTAGTAGTTTTTGCTTTTTGCTCCCAGAACTATTCACTGGGTTAGTTTGGATGGAACGCGCTGGACCCGTCTGGACGCTATTTTCTGCGCGTCTCTTCGGACGTGTTAGAAAGATTGTGTGTCTTTCTGTGTATAGGGGAGGTGGGTGTTGATCATTTAGTTTCTGATGGTCTCAGAGAAAGGCGAATTGAATGTGTATGTGTGTGCGTGTGTGTCAGCGTGAGTCTGTGTGTGTACGCGCGCGCGTGTGTGTGGGTGCGCGGGTGCCTGCGTGGACGCGGACGATTGTGTGCCTCTGCGTGAGTGCCCTGATTGTGTTGTGACTGTGTTCGGTGCTGCTTGTGCTCGGATCAGTGTGCATCTAGCATTGCACCCCGTCTTGTCGACTCTCACAGCACCCTCCTCCCCCCCCCCCCGCCCTCCCGCATCAGTCTATCCACCCATCCATCTATTCAGGCGTCCATCTCTCCAGAATCCGTCCATGCATCCCTGCGCAATCTATCATTTTCCCTGTTCCGAAGGAGGGAGCCAAAAACCAACTTAGCCTTGGCTGGGCAGCCGGTACCCAGAGCTCGCCAGACGGAGGCTGGGAGATATTCACACACCTGCCGGCAGACACCGTTTGGGAGGAAAGGGGCGCTCTCCTACCCTCTCGATCCCTTTCTCCTAACTGGCTTCTGGTGTCATCTCTGTCGCTGCGGTCCCTCGGTCCCCAGGGTCATTCCTTTTAGTAGAATCATGGATCTCAATTTCTCGTGACTACTTCGTACACTTGTTAGGATGTCCCCCAAGACCTCTCTGGCACCGGACGTAAAGGAAATTTTCTTTTCTTTTTCTCTTTCTTTTTTTTCCTTCTCTAGTTTCTTGCCTTTTCTTTTGGAAGGAAAACTTGGGAGCGCTAGACAAAAAACAGTGTTGATGGAGCTGTAGGCTGATGTAGAACGAAGGGGGGGTGTCTCCCCCCCTCCGGCCCCTCCTCCCCCCTAAAAATTAATTCATTTTGTTGCTTTTTATTCCCATCACGTTTCCTTTTCTCCCTTTTACCCTCCCTTTCTACTCCCTCCCTTTTTTTGTAAATTGGGTCTTATTGTTCCCTTTGTGTCCCTAATCCACCTTACATAAATCCAAATGGATGTAGCAGGCTTTTCTCTAGGGACCAAGAAGAGGGAATTTGGGAAGGGGGGTGCAACCCAGGCGGGAGCGACCTAGGGAAGGCTCTACATTTTAAAATAATTAAGAGACCCTAGGAATTCAGGCTTCTAGGGAAAATCAGGAGAAAGCAGCTGTTTTTAACTCCTTTGACTTGGGGATGAAATGAAGGAAGGTGGGCAGAATTCAGGGGCCTAGTGGTGAGATGGAGAATCAGAGTGCCCAGGAGCAAGGATGAGGGCTCCCCATTCCCACCCCTCCCCCAGCCTAAAGAACCAGTCTCACTGATCAAATTAATAACCCAGTGGTTCCTTTGAGATGGGCCTTTTGACCCCCAGGCCTGCGGATCTCGGTGGGAAAGGGAATGTGGAGAGGTTAAGAATCCATTGTGTCCTTTTCAGTGTCCTCGGTGCCTAGGACCGGTCCAGCCTGGTGGGGGACATCAGCTCTTCTCTGAGCTTTGACATGCATGCTTGGGTGCAAGACAAACACTAAACCTATTAGGCAGCACTCCTTCACCTAAAATTCAAACCAGTGATTTCCTCTTAGGCCAAGGATGAGTCCCTGGCTGTCCTCTATAAGACCTGGGGAAGAGAGAATAGTGTGTTGGCATTCTAAATTCTACAGGTCTGCCATTACCCCTTTCTGAAACTTGGATATTAAAACAAAACGAAACAAAACAAAACAAAAAACCGTGAATACCCCATCCAGGGCCTCTTCATTTGGTGGGGCAGGGAAAAAAGAAATTGTAGAGGAGAGAGCCTTTTCATGACCCTTTGAGTACTTTCTGTTAGAATTCACTTGTGGTTCTGTCACCATGATGATGAGTTATGTGGTCATCTGAAACTTCCAAAAACAAATAACTGTAGTAGATACCAGACAGAGATGAATGCTGGTTTTGCTCTGGAGTGTAGCTGCCCTACATAGATATATTTATTTTTTGAATTGCACTTGAGATTCTCTATTCATCCTTTTTCGAAAATGAATCAACTCAGTCCTGGGATGGAATTTTAAATGCTAAGCAAGTTAAATAAATAAGAACATGCAGATTTAAAGAGGGGAGAAGATCAAGTAAGTAATGATTATTTACATAAGTGAGACCGAGTTTAGGTTTTGATCAGAGTTGGATACGCACACCCCCAGCACATATGGAAACGCTCAGGCAAATGGTTTTTGTAGTATTGGCTTTTTTGCAATTGGAAATTAATCCATTCTTCTTTGTTTTCTTGCAGTTACCCTATTGGATTCCAGATCTGTTCAGGGAGAACTTGGGTGGATAGCAAGCCCTCTGGAAGGAGGGGTAAGTTCCGAGTTACTCTCTGATCCAGAGGGTAAAAAGGAGTGATTAGCAACTTTCTCTGAGAGTCCTAATGGCTTGTTTCTTGTTGATTGTGGTGAGGGGGTCAGATTTCCGCCATGGCCTATGAAGTGAATTACGCTTTGTTGGAGAAATCCTATACTCCCTTTGGATAACTCTGTCATGGAAGAACTAGAAACCAAAAGGGCAGAAAGGCGGTTCAAAATTAGGAGATTGGTGGAGGCATAGACTTAGATGCGTATTTAAAACTAAAATACCGACAAGAAATACGATCCAGGGACCAAATTAGAATTTGTGCCTATTAACTGTGATGGCCGTGAAGACCCGACAGGGTTAATTTTAGAGCAATTGTTCTGTTTCCAGATGAGGAAAATGAATGAATAAAGATACCAGGAGAGAGAACATGTCTGATTGTACCAGGCACAAGTTTAGTTCCGTGCATAGGCAAAGGGGGGTGGGGGGGGGTGGGCATCCGTACCTCTGAAACCTTACATCAGCTGCAGCTCTCTTGGGCACTGAAACCTTGGGCACCCAAGCTGTTGTGCTGTTGGTGCTAAATGTAAAAAAGTTTAAGTATTTGGAATCTTGAGTCTTTGGGGAAGGGGAAGCTAGAATAGAATAGAAAGGATGAGAACGCTTCTCACTGTTCATTCGTTCTGCAATGTGCCATCGTTGCCTCTTCCTGAAGATTTCAGAAAATACAGGTTAGTGGCCACATTCTTCCTTTACCCTTCATAACAGTTCAGAATGAGTCAGCTTTGGGAAAAAAATCAGAATAGCATGTTAACTCAGACTTCTGCCAAATTTAAGGAACTCTCAGATCCTTTAAAAATCAAGATCAGTCTGCCCTTATGTGCTTGAGAATCCAGGACTGAATCAGTGGGTTAAGAGCAATAGAAGTGAGAGACAAGTGGTCTTTAGCAGGGGAAAATGGAAATAACCAGCCCCTCAGTATGGTGCTTCCCACCTGTCCCCTGAACTAACAGGAAGGGATCAAAACAGTAAAGATGCACAGAAATTGTTATAAAAGAGGAAGCGTTTTTTTAAAAAAAAGCAAGAAAGTTGTGAAATGAGAGATGAATGAAAATGGAGAATGTTGTTAGGCTGTCTTTTTCCAAAACAGGTCTTGGGATCTGTGTGAAATAAAACGGAGATTTGCCTTGCCTTCTTATTTTTCTGCCTGAACTTGACTGCAGTTCCTTGGATCTCTGCTGAAAAATTCTAGTTGGCCCTCAAAACCATTTTTTAAAGGGAGGGAGAGTGATTGGCAGGCCTCTGGCAGTGTAGACAGGCCTTATTCACTGCTGATTGCAGGCAATTGCCCTCGTCCTTTGAATGCGAAGAAAGGTACAGCTTTATCTTGTGAGAGTCAGACTCTTGTTAATCCTATACCCTGGAAAGGTCACTGGTTCAGGGAGGCTTTCCCAGGCTACATCAGGAGTAAAAGCTCTGCAGGTTCAATGTATTAGAACAGCTAGCAAAATTGAAGATGGGAGGTATCAGTACTTCTAAAAATTTAATGAGTCTTATTTTTCTTACTGGCTGCACTCAAGTTTGAAGGGAGGATGCATCCAGTATGATGTGGGACCTGACCTGTTAACACTAAATACACATGTGACCTCTTTAAAAGCAAGAAATGACACATTTTTTGAGTACAGTCTATGGTCTGTCTGGTTTGTGGAAAGCTTTTACTGCAACTTAATATTCTGTAGACATCCCATATCCCGCACCCACCCCCAGACTGCCAAAAGAACACCTGCTCGCTTTTTCTAAACAAAAACTTCTTGTCGTCTTGAGGTCTCTTAAGATAATACCATGCATATATAGCTGAATTGTGTCCAACCCAGAACTTTTCCATGAGCTGAATGTAGACTTCTGAATGTAGAGTGTTAGCATTTTTCTTTCCTTAAATGTGATGGGTGTAACATTTTAGGGACTCCTTGTGGGTGGGTGAGAAATGAAATTTTATTTATGTACAATAGAGTTAGTCATTCCAAAATACACAGTAGCCATTGAGAAATTATGTGCCAGATTACAAAGTTTCATTAACCTGTTGATTTTGTCATTAAAGGAGACTGTCTCAGGCTTAGAATGAAGGGGTGAATTAGGTTATCTACCAGATATGGATGGATTCGCTTTAAAAAAGTTCTTTCCAGCTGAAGATAAAAGCATATTTGTGTCTTTTGGTTATTCTGAAATTTCTGCTTATAGTTAGGACAGTTCATATCTTTCTTGGCTGGAAACTTGGGGTCATGGTTTTGTCAATAAATAATGACATTTATTTGTTATTGTTATTTTTAAAGAGAAACAGAAAATTTACTTGACAGTACCACAAGTAAAATATGAAATATAGTCAGAGACAACTTACTGTTCTCTGTTTTTCTCTAAGAACAACTAAGGAGAACATAAGAATAATAGAAAGTAATGGCTCCTGATGGCAACATTATAGCGAAACCTAATTCCTTGGCAGTGTTCATTTAAAGGAGCATATTGAATTTCTGACATTGATTGTAAAATACAAAAACTAAGGTGAGATTTGTCATTGTTCTGGTGAATTGATCCATGTGTTTAGACAATTAAGTTAGACTGGAAAATTCACATTAGATCAAACTCTCCTGTATGAACTCTGTGGAGATATCCCTGTGTGCTTTCATTTACGTTGATAAATGTGTTTTTCCATATTCCTTTTGTTCTGAGATGAGAAGCATGCTGAGTAGGGTTTTTTTTGAAGGTGAAGATCTATTTTTGGATTTACATGAATTTCCCCCAAATAAGTAAATTACTGGTGATTTATTGCTTAGTGGATAAAAAGAAATTTTAATCACCACAGGGCACTTACTCCTCCCAGTTCCAACTTTCATAATGGTAGCAGATGAAAGGGATACAGAGTTTTATGCAGTATAGTCCTTCACACAGTAACATTTCCATCCATTAATAGTTTTCCAATGCACAGATGGAAAACCCGTTAAAAGATACATTATGGTTCTACGTACTTCATTGGATTGAATGGAGCTTTAAGTGGAGCTATTATAGAATATGAATTTTTTTAAACTATCTTTTTTCTTCTAATTATATTCATGTGTTAGATACTTAAGCTGATTTATACCAGATCTATATAAATGCATTACTGTAGATACTTGTGAAGAATTGGAGGCTGCTTACTAGCCCTATAGGAGCCCCCCAAAAATCTTGCTGCTTTTAGGATTATTTTTTAAAAAGCTGTGGCAAGAGGTGAGTTTTTACTACTCTAGTAACGGTGAGTTTGGATTGTCCCACCCTTAGAATCTTTATGTTACGAAATAGATCACAAAGGAAGCCCTACCACCCTCCTCTAGTTTTCTTGGGCTTTCAATCATAAATACCCCCTACGATTTTATTTTAATATCCACAGAATATTTAGAAGCAAAGCATGTGTGCATTCTTGTTTACTTACGGGTATATGTTTTAAAAATAAGGATACACAGACTTTTTAAATTAAATACGTTGGTCTGGGAAAGTGTTTCATTGTTTACAAATGACAGTGGATTTGAGAAATCCAACCATAAAGTTTACTCTCTATTTTCCCAGGATTAACAAAACCAGAAGAGTGAGATTTTCCTTACCCCTTTAAAGAATAGTGACAGTGCCAAAAAAAAAAAAAAAAAAATTTTTTTTTTTGGACTGACATTTTTTTTTTTTTAGGTATTAGAGAGCAAAGTTCTGACAGGAGCACCACTAATTAACTGATAATTGTCTTCCTTTGGCAAGCTTCTTTCTTCCTGCTCTTAATTTGCAGGTCTCTGCTCAGTTGTTGAAACAATACACATACTAGTTTTTCATTTATGAGTAAATTTGAACTGTTGCCACTTGAAATTGTAGCTGTTGTAATAGGTGAATCTGAGGTTGTTAGACCACCACAAGGACCTGCTGGGAACTCATAAGCAAAAGATCTCCCCAGGCCTCTGGATTGTAGGCAAAAGAATGAAACCACCACCAAAAAAACAAAACCAAAAAAGACCACGTCCCCAGTAAAATGCTGTCTTATCTCCCATAAAGTGTTTTGTTAGCGAGGGTTGGTTCTCAGTAGTTTTCTTCCTCCCTGAAACAAAAATCGTCACTGTCCTATGAGGGGAAAATAAAATGGACAGATCACCGCAGGGGGACATTCTGTAATTGATAACATTTCCTTTGGATCTTTGCAGTGGGAGGAAGTGAGTATAATGGATGAGAAAAACACACCAATCCGAACCTACCAAGTGTGCAACGTGATGGAACCCAGCCAAAATAACTGGCTGCGAACTGACTGGATCCCCCGAGAGGGGGCCCAGAGGGTGTACATTGAGATCAAGTTCACCTTGAGAGACTGCAACAGTCTTCCGGGTGTCATGGGGACTTGCAAGGAGACGTTCAATCTCTACTACTACGAATCAGACAATGACAAAGAGCGTTTCATCCGAGAGAGCCAGTTTGCCAAGATCGACACCATTGCGGCCGACGAGAGCTTCACCCAAGTGGACATTGGTGACAGAATCATGAAGCTGAACACCGAGATCCGGGATGTAGGGCCACTGAGCAAAAAGGGGTTTTACCTGGCTTTTCAGGATGTGGGGGCCTGCATCGCCCTGGTCTCAGTGCGTGTGTTCTACAAGAAATGTCCGCTCACTGTTCGCAATCTGGCCCAGTTTCCAGACACCATCACAGGGGCTGATACGTCTTCCCTGGTGGAAGTTCGAGGCTCCTGTGTCAACAACTCAGAAGAGAAGGATGTGCCAAAAATGTACTGTGGGGCAGATGGTGAATGGCTGGTACCCATTGGCAACTGCCTGTGCAATGCTGGGCATGAAGAGAGGAATGGAGAATGCCAAGGTAAGAAGAGCCATATTGTACTTTTCATTAGGGCTTAGTGCACGTAATTAAATCAGAGATGAGACTAAATGGAGTAAAGCCAGTAATTAGCAGCCCCGGTGGGATGTGGTGGGACAGAGGGGGTCTAATGAGTAAGTGCTATAGCTCCAGGTGGCGAGGCTAAGACGTTTCTAATACTGACAAAATAAATGATGCTGTGTAATCAGCAGAAGGCCAAACACATTTGCTAACAGGCACTTAGATCTGAACCGGCTTGATGTGCCCTCTGAAATGTAAATGAACAAGCTGAAGAAACAGACCTGATTGATCCTTACTTAAAGAGGGCAGACACATTTTCGAACCCTAGTTTTCCCTGTGTGTGGACCTGGTAAAATGGCAAAGACGGTGATATTTACCACCTCCTGTGGTATATTTATGTACACGAATGACTGAAATGTGAAGTAAGGTTTCCAGTCTAGCAAATCCCTCCTGCTAAAAGGAGGTACAGTTCTTCAGGCCTCATGGACCAGTGTAGATGTGGCCCAATGAAACGGCGGGACAAGGTTTCACGTGCGTTCTGTTCCACTGAGCTCCCATTGATAGGGTCTGCAAGTGACGTTAATCTTGATGGAAGACCTCTTGATTTCCCTGAGGAGGTGATAAACAGCTAGTGAGAGTCTTATTCCATCTGTGTGGTCAGAGGCAATAGTAAATTGTGGTCCATTTTGGTTATTGAGTTTTTGGAGAAATCTAGACTTTTGTATCATGTTAATTACTACTTACCACATCACTAAGGTGATTTTTTTCTTTCCTAACCTGCAGTCGAGTGTATGTAATTCTTTCTTTCCTTATTTCCCCTTTCTGGGGAGTTGGTAAAATATTTTTCTTTGTAGCAGCTTTGCTTCCAAGTAAGAGATGAGAGGACTTCGTATTTATATGGATTGCTTGTCTTGTGTGTGGATTAAGGCTTAAAAAAATCAGTTATCCCAAGGTTGTTATTTTACTTGCTGTTTATTTTTAGTGCTTATTGATAATCTGCTGCCACCAATCTTACTATGGTTACTACTGAACAGTCTAACTCTGGGCCCGACTATGGAACAGATCCGATTAATCTGTTCTCAGGGTGATTGCCACATGGTTCATCTGATGTGGTGATTAAAGACCCTGAAATAACTGACTGCCAAACAATTTGTCTGGCATTTCAACCATCTTAATGACAGGGTGGGATTTACTATGGGACAATCCACTTCACAGACTGGAAATCAACAGTTATAACCTGAAGAAAGTTGCATTTTTGATAATTTGATGTCCTAGATTATACATTTTTCCCCTTTTATAGTTTATACTGTTTTAAAGTGTCATTCTTGATTTGCTAGTTATTTCCAGGAGTAGCTAAGAAGGAATGCTGTAAATTCATTGCAAATAAAACAATAAAGGCTGGCTACCTTTTCTGGTGACTCAGGGTAAAAAGGTAAACTCATAAATTGGAAAATTTTAAAGTTGGAATTTAAAGTTGTTTTCGGTTGTTTTTTGCAAAGATTCATTTCTTGATCATTGTGCTAGCTCTTGACTTAGCAACTGCTAGAGGAGCTGTACCAAATTGAAACCCCGAAATGTATTCTGGTCTTAGTATTAGAACATATGTGAGCGCGTTGTTATTGGCACCTACACTGCAATCATCATAGCAGGTACGGTGACGTGAACAGGGCGATGATACTGCATCACATTTTAGAGTGACTTATTCTGCCTTGTCGATTTTTGTAAGAGCACTTGCACATCTTCACATGTCAAGATTCTTCTATGTATTAAAAAAAAAGAGAGAGAGAACACCATTGTCTCCCATTTCCTGCTCTGGCATTAGTATATCTCTGTATCTAATGTCATTGATTTTCAATTGTTACAGAGCCCAGTAACTCATACATTGCTACACTGTGAAACTCCTTGACATTTTTACAACCCAAATTAGAAGAAGAGGAGAAAAAGATGGAGGGGAAGTGAATGTAAAGCCAATTGAACATTTTAGTGGTTTTCTTTATGGAAATAATCTTGGGAATTCAGTTAATCATATGGTCCATGGAAGGGTGGGGCTCCATGTTTTGGATTCAGTCTGTTTCTAAGCAAACTATTCCTAATACAAGGCCAGATATTTAATGGAAGGGGAGGTTGATGGAGGCCGTGTTTTTTTAGAATCTTCGTCGTTTACTTTCTGGCTACCCAAGTATTTTCTTTGCTGCTCATAAATGACTAACTCTTTCGAAAAGACTTTTTTTGAACAAAATATTGCCCTTTGTTTATTTTTTTATTTATTTTTATTTATTTGACAGATCACAGGTAGAGAGGCAGGCGGGGGCTGGGGGGGGAGTCTCCCCACTGATCAGGGAGCCTGATGCGGGGCTCGATCCCAGGACCCTGGGATCATGACCTGAGCCGAAGGCAGAGGCTTTAACCCACTGAGCCACCCAGGTGCCCCTATTTGTTTGTTCTTAATACTACCAGGTGGGCATTGCTGATGAATTTAGGGGTAAAGGAAAAACTTGGAATGGCAAGATTCTTCAACTCCAAACCTGAGTGAAACTTTTTTTTTTTTTAAAGATTTTTTATTTATTTATTTGACAGAGATCACGAGTAGACAGAGAGGCAGGCAGAGAGAGAGAGGGAAGCAGGCTCCCCGCTGAGCAGAGAGCCCGATGCGGGACTCGATCCCAGGACCCTGAGATCATGACCCGAGCCGAAGGCAGTGGCTTAACCCACTGAGCCACCCAGGCGCCCCTGAGTGAAACTTTTTAAAGATGACTCAAAACTGTGAAAATCTTAGGAGTAATAAAAATGGTCCTCTTCATCCTTGACGTCATTACTGGGAAGCAACCAGGTAGAGCAGAAAGAACACGGAGACAAAGAAATGTGTCTCATTGTGGTCACATAAATAACTGTATGACCTTGAGCACAATTCTTAAGCCCTTTTCATCTATAAAATGAGTTGAAAATAATTGTACTTAGCTTACAGTCTTGCTGTGAGGACACCGTGATGTAAGATTAGTAAAAGTCACCTTTTAGATCCTAAAGCATTAAACCGATGTTCATGCTAGCAATTCTTTATTTACTCTGTTGTTCCCACAGTCATAGCTGTGGACTTTAAGGATGTTGAGTTGAACGAGTGAAACAGAAGTTCATCCATCTCCCAGCCCCTCTTGGAAGTCAAGGCTAAAGATAGGAAGGAAGCATTGCCCTTGCCCTAACAAAGAATAATGTCTATTTTCACACTGCATGTTGAAAATGATATTTAGAGAGTGTCATTTTATTTCTCTCCTGTCGGAAAGCGGACTTTCCTTTGAGAGAAAAGTGATTTGGGGGCGGGACAAGAAAGACCAGGGTGCAAAGAGAGCTTAAGAAGGGATATAAAGGGGAACTGGCAAGTCTTCAGAACTGTGGCAGCAGGTTCCTCCCCAATTGTCTTTTCAGTGGGCCTACTGTTGCAGGCCGAATGGGACAGGTGAAAGGTCACCCACTTCCTCATCCATCTTCCTTGGGGTCTGGGAGGTCAGAGTGAAGATGGATTAAGATCTTAACATGTTTGACAAAGGATCCTTGGGCAAAAATGGCCAGGGTGGGTGGGGGCCTGGGGCGTGCTGTTGTTTGAATCGAACCCCCGTCAGCTGCGGGAGTCCTCAAGGGACTTTGGGGACAGAACGACACTTCCTCTTGGCGTTCTTACCTCCAAGCAGTACATGCTAATGGTGCAGCAAAGGATGGAGTGGTACGTCAGAAGTGTCAAGAGGTGATGGCAGGCTTGCCCTCTGAAGCAGCTGCAAGTTCATTCTGTTCTTGAATAACATTTTCTGAAATGATTTGGCTTTGTCTCCTCGGGCAACGAAGAGTAGTAGTAGCCACTCATCTGTCTTCTCTAGGAGAAGGCAGGGCCTGCTGGTCTCAGCTGCGGTTTGAACTCAGTGACTGGCTGCCCAGGAGGAGTCACTGCTCTGGTTAGTCTTCTGACCAGGTCTCCTCAAACCTGGTCTCCTTTCTTTCCTTAGAAGAAAGCAAAAATATACCTCAGACCCTGGCACTGCCCCCCACCTCCCACATATACCCCCCAGGGAGGAAACAGTCCAGATGTTTTTAGAAGGTTGTTTTCATTACTTCAGGAAGATGAAACAGACGAAGAGAGGAAAGGTTCTTTATTAACATGTTTTCTGCTTAATTAAAAAGCTGAAAAGTGAAAGGAAAGCCACAGATTTACTCTTTGTGAAATATTAATAAGCACTATTTTAGAGCGTATATATAAAAATGAGACTAAGTAAGAGAAAGAAGGCGTTCTTCTGGAGTCACTCTTCAAGCCAAAGAATGACAACGGTGACAAAGTCGAGCTCCACAGGAATCAAGCCTTGCTCTGAAAGACACATTGTTGCTGTAGATGTTTGGGGTCCTACATGTCCAGGACCTGTATTATATATCATTAATATACGTTGCCTTCGTATCAGCAAAAGGTGTCAGTCAAAGCTCTTACGAGAAGGAACAAGACAGAAAATGCTTTGATGACCATTAACAGGACTATCTCAAATTTGGGCTCTGAAAAGAGGGAGAGAGTTTTATGTTTAAAAAAAAAAAAAAAAAAGAAAGAAAAATTACTTTCTTTTTCCCATTCTATTCTAGAAAGACCTTAGGAGAAAGACGTATTGGAAAGGAAGCATTTAAAATATAGTTCAGAGAGATGCTGCTTCATATCCTTTCCACCTTTGAAAATTTTCTCCTACCTTTGAATCATGTCTTTAAGTATCAATTGCTTACATCACATGGCTGCTTTTATCTCCAGCTTTGAAGCCGGCTGTGATCACTGAAAGATGCAATTCTTTAGATCCAAGAAGAGCAGGGTTTAATTATTGTGCTTTTTCTGTTATACTTATTTTTTTATGATTCCCCCTCCGCCTGCACCTTCTTCGTGTGATCAGGGTTCTTTCCTGAGTGTGCATCATGGAGTGGTCTCCGTTTGGGGTGCGCCAAAGCATCACATAGGAATGACCTCA